ACACTGATTTAATGGACATCATATCTTGACCTAAACAACTTTTCACTTTGGAATTGAAGAAAGACACAAGAGTTTCTACTAACGTTAACTTTTCAATGTTGGTAACAATAAAACCCTTTTGAAGGAAAGCCAAAGACATGAAAACATCAGCCTGTGACATATTTACTCAGAATAGTCCAGTGGTCTTCAACAAATTCTCGGGTCTGAACCTCCCCCCAAAACTAGTTCTGAGAAAAGGAATCAAAGAAAGGCACTGGAGAATAAGGGACAGATAAGATATGATATGTGGAATTAGGTAATTATGTAAAGTTACTATAGAAAGATGTGAGATACTGAGAAGAGACTATAGGCCTAGTAGAGATAGCAAAAGAAAAGCAATTAGATACAAGAATTAAAAGTAGATTTCTGAAATGTATTCAGTTTACAGAGAACCTCGGACACAAAATTCAAGAACTATGGATCTAAATCCCATACCTCTGAATTAACAGTTAATTTGATTTCCAGCTTGTTCATGGTTCAAAGACTCACAGCACTTCTTCCTTTAGAACGTAAATGTCAGAGATTAACCCCTTTTCATCAGGATTTCAGGAGGAACAAATAAACAGCAATGCATTGGGATACAATGAAATCAACTAATAAATGACACAGTTGCTTTCTGGCTCATGCTAGTCTCCCTAGAGAAACAGAAATGAGTGTCACCTTAAAAATAAAAGGGAGAAGAGGTGTACCCCCAAAAAACTGCATTCATGGGACACCTGTATGCGACGTGCTGGCGTCTGTGCTCTATCTGCACTGCCTCTTTAAACTGTTAGCCATGGGAGGATTTTCTGGAAGTCACAAGGCAGTAAATATAAGAACAGAAGCTAGCTTGCAGTGTTAGTTCATCCATTTGTTTATGATGCCACGTGCAAGTGATTATAGTGAGAAAGCCCTTCTCAGATTTCACATCCAGCAAGTCGAACACTCAGTGGTATCTCTGAAACCCAAGTACCGACCAGCCCTGGGCTTAACGCTGGAAACATTTATAACACATCCTCAGTTTTGAGGAAGCAAGGTGCCCTGTGGTGAGCGCCCATGCACCTCAGTTCAAATCCCTCCTGAGCCCGGGGGGAAGACTCACACCTCTGAACTACAGATTCCTCACCAGTAACATGGACTAATTGGAGCACAATCCTCCTTGGACTGTAGTGAGGATAACATGAGAATGTATGAACAGCTTTCAGCTTCTAGAAAGTGTTCTCTTACTGCTGCTTCCCTCACCCCTCGTCCACCTTAAACTTAAGAAGTGAGTTTTACGGCGGTTTCTGCTCTTGCTTTTTTCCTGGTCCTCTGTTATCAGAGGCTGGCAATCACCTTTTCTATTGGCTATACTCTTCTCCATGTGGGTAAGAATTAAGCTCCTGCATAAAGAAGCCTCAGTTTTTTGAGTTTCTGTTTTGTTTTACTGTTGTTCCTTGTTACAATGTTTTTAACAAGGAAACGTTTTTATACTCTGAAAAATCTGTATTGTGATAGGCATGGTGTTTAATGCACCAATTATTAGTGAGAATAAAGGACAAATGAAGAGCCCGTTCCAAAAATGAATTTCAGAGTCTCCCTCCAGGAGAGTCAGACGGGCTGTGTAGGTCTGGGGCAGGGCCAAGAAGCTATAGTTCTAACAAGCACCTCTGTGGATGCTGAGTGCAGGTGGTTCTCACCACACAGTAAAACATGCTGATGTAATCAACTCAAAAATATTGACCTGCTGGAATATCACTTCCTAAAGGCTATAGCCTCTGTTAAAAAATAACATAAAATATCAGCACTAAATCTAAAAGATATAAGTATTCAGAATAACCCTAAAAACCCACCCCACCATATCACATATTCTAAGTCAAAAAATACTTTAGCATGTATGTGTACCTTAATAGAGTAAAACATTAATAGCTACTACATAAACATTTATAAATATAACCATTTCCTCTTTTACTTCCACATTTCCTAGGTGCTACACTTGCATTTTGTCCCTCTACCTCTCTAGCCATTCAGGTACAGCTGAGAAATCTGGGTAAGGCACAGGTTGGAAAGGCCGCAGGAATCAATTCCTTGCTAAAGCACACTGGAGAAAAACCAAGGTGTAGGAATCTTCCAGAGGAGAGGACTCTGGGCAGAGTTCCCAGGAATGTTGCCAATGAACCCATGGAAATGCTTTTCCTTCTCTCCTTAGTCCCTTCCTGGATGGCTAAGAAAAATGCAGAAAGACACTAAGTCAAAACAGGAGACAATAAGGAAAAATGCTGCCCAGCTGAAACCTAGTCTTTCAGATCAAAGATAATGACCTATATAAAAAACAGAGAAGTGTTTCATACATGTTCTGTGTTATTTTAGGTGACAGACAGGAGACACAGAAGACACTCAAGCTCAGAAAACAAAGTTTCTTAAACTCCCAGGTCCTAGAAACAGGATGCACACATGGCATACCTAACAGGGCCATGTGGGAAAGAGCCAGCACCCATGGGGCTACTTGTGAGAGTAGCAGAAGTGATGGGAGAGCCTAGGTGGTGGCTCTTATTGGAATTTCCAAGGGAAAGGCAAAGCAGGGCAGGGTCAACAGTTTATTGGCTAGAATAATTTCAGGGCATTCTAAGCTATAGGAGTGGCCCTCCCTTGCCTGGTGCCTGGACCTCCGATGATAAAAGCAGAGGAATATTGCCTCCTGGGGATTAAGGGCCTGGTGGAGGAGGTCTGGTTCTGGGTTGGTTAATTTGCATGTCAATGGCACCCTCCAGGCTGTGCCCTTTGATCTTTAAGAATTAGCTAGCTCTGGACGGGACAGTCTCTCCCCAGACAGAAAGGTTTTTAAGGTGTCCCACCACCACAATATACAGAAAATTTAAAATACAAGCAATACAACAGAACTGGCTACTTACTTCCTGCTTACCAAGAGGAAATTTAGCAGCCTCTTTCTGAACCCCTACTGAAACCCCTCCGTGTCATCCCCAGAGAACCAGAGAGAGCAACTTAGGAGAAATCCACTTCCCAAACCCACTCAGTATGTTCAATGTGACACATTCACTCTCAGCTTATAATTGGGACTTGCAAAGCTTTGAAGGGTATAATCAAGGGGAAAGATGGTAGGAAGTATTTGCAAGGTGGAAATGAGACAGAGGCACCACACTGAGTTTTAATTGCCTAAAAAGCAACTCTCTAAAACTTCTGGGAAAACTTCTGAGGAAGAAAACAGGAAACGATTCAGCTTCAGAAATCATCTCTGAACTGGTTTTCAAGTAAGGGACAGCTGCAGTGTGAGGCACACCTTCTTCCAAATAACCATACAAAGAGACAATAGTCTCTAGAAACAGTTGACAAGCATCAAACAACTAACTCTGCTTTTAAACATACATGTCTTCTCCACCTCTTTCATGGATGCCAACAATATGAATTCCCTTAGATTCCACACTGAGAACAGAGACGCATACAGGTACTTAAAGCATCCTGAGTTAGGATCTGTTTAAAACTAAGAATGACCAATTTTGGTGTGAGGCAGGCATTTTGCAATTCCCCTATGCTACCCTAGTTCAACCTATGTCCTCACGCACCCCTTCCCTATTACCCTCCCACATCCCCAAACATGGTGAAGAACTGGGGTACTCTCTTTTCTTTACAAATTATGCTTACTTCTCATCATTTAGAGTCTAACCTTACAAAATAATCAAGTCTGGTGAATGTGCAGGACAAGCTAATTAACAAGTAACAGCTAACACTTGCTAAGCATTTATTATTTGCCACCCTGTCAAGCATTGTACGTGCATTATCTCCTTGAATCCTTAGAATTCTAGGAACTAGGTACTATTACTATCTCCATTTTCCAGATAAGGAAATCGAGGCCCTGAGAGATTAAGTAGTTATAGCTGAAAGTCACATGGCTACGAAGCAGCAAAGTCCAAATTTAGACCCCAGCTGCCTAACTTGAGAGTCCAAGGTATAATGACTAAGTGCTGAAGGGATCAGGTAGTTTCCATGAATTCCTGATTAAAGCAGAAGGCCATGCTCCCACTACGGGAGCTCGAGCAGCCTCCAGTAGTCACAGTGCAGGGAAACATCAGGGCACAAGAAGGCATTCCAAACCTGCCAACACCCCAGCAGGTACTCACTCAGTCTCTCCATCTTCTAGGGCAGAAGTATTGACTTCGCGGGGGGGGTGGGGGGTGGGGTGTGTGTGTGTGTGTGTGTGTGTGTGTGTGTGTGTGTGTGTGTGTGTGTGTTGGAATAAAGGGAGAAATGGCATTACAGGAGAATCATGCTGAGATTTAAGGATCTTTAATGCTGGCACTGCTGATCTTGAACAGACAGCACAAATAGACTTAACAAGTGGCTTTCACTCAAGGAATTAACCTGTTGCCAAGTACAGTGTTTCAAAGAATTGGAATGTTGTCAAACTAGCTTAACACCATGAAATGGTACAACTTAATGAGACTCCATAAATATTGAGGACTACAACACGCAGCTCCCTCTGCAAAAAGTGATTTTACAAGTGGTTTGCTGTCTTTCCTGGTGCATACACACAGTGGTAGGTGAAATGCTACAACTAAAAGCTATCTTTTTTTAAATGAGTACAACTTGTTCCATCCTTCACTTTACCCCATTCCTTTTGGACCACTTTTTAAATTTAAAAAATTAAATATTTTTAAAGTAAAAAATCTCAAACAGTTCATATAATCACGCTAAGCAGTTTTCTTTAAACCTCTACTCAACCTCCTAAGATAACACACATTACTTCTCAGGAAAGCCCTAATGTTAAAGCAAACCAAACCAGAGGCTCATCACTGAACCTACAAGAGGGGAGAAGCTATGCTGATCCTTGCAGACCAGCAACTGGCCTGAGGTCTATTCCAAACTGAGTATTTAGAAAAGGAGGGGTAGGGTGAGATCAAGGACAGAAAAGCCCTGACTGAATGGAAAAGGTAAAAAATCCAAATTTAGTAATATCTGTTCCTGAGCAAAGTGTAACAACTACTCACCTGTCTACTGCTTCTACATCAAAGCAAAACCTCTTCTCGATAGAGTCTGTTTTCCGCCGGGTGCAGGATTTCAGGGTGACGGATTCATCTTCTCCCTGTTGAGAGCACACACACTATCAAGATGAGGCCTGAACATGGGCTATGCTATGTGCCTCTCCAGCAAACCACAAACATGCCACATCAACAGGAGTGATTATTCCATCTTCTCAAGCCTGAGTGTTCATGACCCACAGGAAGGTGGAATGTTGATCAAAAACCTTCCCTCAGCCACAAGCCTCACGCAGCTAAAACCTATAAACCAAGTTATACTTCAAGCCAAACATCTCTAGTTTTAATTAAGTTCTAGCACATCATGATGGTACAGCATCAACCCATGCTACATAAACTCTTGTTGATAATGTCTGAAACAGGTTTAATTTGCTGGGTTTGTTTTTAATTAATTTATTTGAGAGAGCATGCACACGAAAGCAGACTGGCAGAGGAGGAGGGAGAGGCACAAGCAGACTCCTCACTGAGCACAGTGCCCGACGGGGGGCTTGATCTCATGACCCCTGAGATCATGACCTGAGCCAAAACCAAGAGTTGGACACAACTGACTGAGCCACCCAGGTGCCCCTAATTTGCAGGGCTGATAAGGGTTAAACCAGATGACCTGCAGTCTCCTCCCGACTCTGAGTTTCTACGTTTCACTGCCTTCACTTTTTCAGGAAGGCCTTCCTGGACCAGGTCAAATATCCCCAAGACGTGTTCACATGGCACCATCGTAGCTGGAATTGTCCACTGATGAGGGCGATGATTTCCATCATGGCTCCCTCCTCATTATACTCTAAGCTCCCTGAGGGCAGGGACTGTGTCTGTTCTTGCTGATTCCTGTGTTCCCAGAGCCCAAATAGGCCCCAGAACAGAGGAGATGCTCAATAAATAGGTTTTTAACAGCTTTATGACAGTGTAGCTAATGTATAATAAACTGTACATGTCAATTTATGAGTTTTAACTTCTATATCTCTCCATAAAATCAACACCACAATCAAGCTAATGAACATTTCCATCACCCTCAGAAGTTTCCTTGTCCTTTGAATTCCATCCCTTCACCCAGTCCAGCCTCAGGCAAATACTGAATCTGCTTTCCTATCATACAGATTAATTTGCATATTCTATAATTTCATATAAATGAAATCACACAGTATGTGCTCTTTTATTTCTGACTTCTTTGACTTGGCACAATTCTTTTGCAATTCACCTATGTTGTGCAAATCAAGAGTTTGTTTCTTTTTACTGCTGAGTAGTATCCCATTGTACAAAGGTAATCCAACAATCTCATCACATAGTGCTCTTTTATTGCCTAAAAACATAGGGGTTTCTCTTCCTGATTTCTTCTCTTTTTCCCATATAAGAATTTAGGGTTCATGTTTCTCCTGCCTTTGCCAATCTTTTTCTCTAAACAAGGGGGAAAACTAGCAAACATGCCTAATTTGTTGAAATAGGAAAAGTGACTGCTTCTGGTAAAACTCAACCACCCCCTAGTATCACAATACCACACAAAATACAGAAGACCTAGCAAGAGATGGTTTATATTCACAAGCCTTACATCTACTGTGTTTTTTAGGGGCTGGAGAACAGCAGGTGGAAAGGTCCTGTGGTCAGTGTCCACGGAGCCTGGGAGGAATTAAAAGCCAGCCAATATGGTTCAATCCCAGAGCAAAAGGCAAACTGGCATGAAAGAGTCTGAGGGAATCAAGAGCCAGATCATGCACACTGTGGTCCATAACCTGAGAGCACAGGAAAAATAATGAAGGGTTTCAAGCAAGGGAAGGGACAAGGTCACCTTTGGACTGCCCCAGACCTCACACAGAGAGAGCTGCCTCATCTCAGAGGTTAGGATACAGGGGAATTCTCTTTCACCACACACAGGGTCTAGTCTCCAAGATGATGGAACAAATCTGCTCACATATCCTTGCTGGAAGCTAAGAGAAAAGCAGGTACTTTTACAGGAAAATAATCAAATGAAATGGACAGCAAAGTAAAGGAAAGGGAAGTGAAAAAGCATGTTAGAAAGAAAAAAAAAAACCCACCCTATTACCTATGTTAAGTCTACCTCCACCTCCTAGGAGAGCTCTCTACAAACACATATATCATATAGAAAGATGTCACATGATTCTCCTGTACAAACTGAGATGACATCTCCTCCAGAAAGCTGAGGAAACAGTGATGTCAGGGAGAGCCACTATTTTATATATTTTTCTATTCTTGTTACTATTACTAGCAGCAGCAACCTCCAATTCAAGAGATGCAGACTCCAGAATCACGCTCTGAGTACTGACTCTGTAACTCATCAGTTGTATGGCTTTATAAATCATTTTCTCTCTCTAGACCTCGATTTCTTCCTTTATGAAGGAGAAAACTGGATCAAACAGGATAATGTAGACAATACATGGACTTAGAAAAATATAAAATAAATTTAAGGAATTAGGAAAATTAATTATTGTACTATCAAGCTCCTAATACAGAACTCATTGTGTGTGAAGCTCTCTTCCAAGAGTATATATACTAATTCATATAAACTTCTTAACAACACAGTGATGTGTTTACTATTAACTCACTGAAGACGTGGGAGTCCCAAACATCCACCATAACTGGTCTCTGTCATTCACTTTCCAGTGGGATAAGACCAAACACAAGAGTTCTTCTTTTAAGGTTTAGGAAAGCACAAGGTCAAAAGCCCCAAAATAAAGACTGTGTGAGAGAATAATTTAGTGATGCTCATTTCTAGAAAGACAGGACTGGAAAAGGACTATGGTTCAACTCAAGGGAGCAAGTCTAACTACTGCCTTTGTATAAAAGCTAGGGAACAGCTAGTGATTAATGTTTAATATCTCTTCCGACTCCATAAATTTCTTTATGTTTCTATATTTAAACAATGTTGTTTTCCTGACATTACTCCACTCCTGAAACATTAAAAGAGCTTTGGTGTATTCTTTTGTAATACATAGAAGGAAAAGAGATGCTGATAAATTCCTGTATTGTGGACTAAGTAAAAGAAAGCCAGGAAGAAAAATTGAAGTGGTACAGAGCAAAGGGGCAGCCCAATAGAGTAGCCAACAGTAATGACAGATGCATCTAACATTACTGAGCCAGACAGTCTAATTTCAAAGCTGATGCTCTTAGCCTCTGTAATGCCCCCATAAACACACACACACACACACACACACTGCACCACAGTGCACCACGGAGAGTACCAGAGATGGAATGCTTACTGGGGACTAATTCATCAACATACGAGATACAGCTTAAAAATTATTTAAACATAGAATCAAAGAAATTATGTAGTATGGAATCCAGAGATACAAACAGATGAAAAATAAAAACGCTTCTGTTAAAAATATTTAGCTATCTTTCAAAGAAGTTATGTCCAGAAGGAGATACGGGGATGAGGCAAAATTCAAAGTGATAAATGGTAAGAATTTCCCAAAGTTACTGAAAGACACCCATCGCCAAATACAGAAAGACCCCAAATTCCCAAGCACAACAGAGTGAAAAAAAAAAATCATATATAAGACCATCATAATGAAATGACACACCACCAGAAGAGGAAATGCACTTAGGCTGCAGCTAGCAAGCCCAGAAGAAGGGAGACAGGCTAGAGCACAGTGGGGAGCTCTACAGCAGTGACCTGCAGGGCCTAGGATCAGAGCCGGCTGCAAGAGTATTTCTATCCTACACATTCATCATGTAACTGTAATATTCCTCCCATCAAGAGGCTGGTCTGCATCCTCTCCCCATGAAACTGGGTGGGCTTGGGGGGCTTTTAGGACTGCTTCAACCAACAGAGCTGTATGACTTCTAAGGCTACATGCAGTCTCTGCTTTCACTGCTGGAATATTCACTCTTGACATCTTTAGCTGCCCTGAGGCCACCATGCTGTGAGAAAATCCAAACTATCTCCCATTGAGAAACCAGATGGACAGGCCCTGAGACTATACAGAGCAGGTGGGAAAGAGGGAAGGGGAGGAAGGAGATCAGGAGAAACAAAGAGAGTCATGGCTGACCAGCCTTCAGCTGCTTCAAACCCTCACTGTTCCATCTCCTGCTACCATCTGATTGGAACCCCCTGAGAAATCCTGAGCCCAAAGCACCCATCCAAATGCTCACCCAATTCCTGACCCACAGAAACTGTGAGAAATACTAAAATGACTGGTGTTGTTTTAAAAGTTGGCAAGTTTGGGCACCTGGGTGGCTCAGTCGGTTAAACATCTGACTTTAGCTCAGGTCATGATCTCGGGGTCCTGGGATCAAGCCCTGTGTCAGGCTCCCCACTCAGTGGGAAGTCTGCTTGTCCCTCTCCCTCTGCCTCTCCCTCTGCCTCTCTCCCTCTCCCCCTGCTCATGCTCTCTCTCTCTCACACATAAATAAATAAATAAAATCTTAAGGAAAAAAAAAAGTTGCTAAGTTTTTGGGTGATCTATTACACAGCAACAGATAATCAGGACACCCAAACCATTAGCTTGCAGCCCTCTTTGTATCAAGTAAGAGTGATAGCCATCAGTTTCACAGGACAAGGCCATCCAGGAATTTCTAGCATCTAAACACATTTGACATACTTAATATTGTATATATGTGAAATACAAGAATCTTTCTTAGTTGCAGTTCCTAATAGAACTTAAAGCTAAGAATATTCACCTTGCTATAGTTACTGTCTAGGGTACTCTTCCTCCTAGAACTATTGTGTAAAAGTAAGGAAAACTACAGCAAAGCAATCTTGCAAAAGAAGAACAAAGTTGGAGATATCACGGTCCCAGATTTCCAGATACACTACAAAGCTGTAGTGATCAAAACAGTATGGTTCTGGCACAAAACCAGACATACAGCTCCATGGAACAGGATAGAGAATCCACGGAAAAACCCACACCTATACGATCTATTAATCTACAACAAAGGAGGCAAGAATATACAATGGGGAAAACACAGTCTTCTTCAACAAATGGTGCTGGAAAACTGGTCAGCCAAATGCAAAAGAATGAAACTGGGATATATATATAAAGGAGTATTACTCAGCCATGAAAAAAACAAGGTATTCCCACTTGCAACAACATGGATGGACCTAGAGGGTATAATGCTAAGTAAAATGGTCAGACAGAGTAAGACAAATACCACATGATTTCATTTAAATGTGCAATTTAAGAAACAAATGAACAAAGAAAAAGAAAAACCAGATGGACAAAAAAAAAAAACTCTTAAACATAGAGAACAAACTGATGGCTGCCAGAGGGGAGGTGAGTGGGGGCGGTGAGTGGAATAGATAAAGGAGTTTAAAAGTCCACTTACTGTGATGAGCACTGAGTAATGTATACAATTGTTGAGTCATTATACTGTATACCTGAAGCCAAATTTAATACTGTATGCTAATTATACTTCAGTAAAAAAAAAAAAAAAAAAAACTTAAAAAACAAAAAAATGACAGTGACACATTGAAGGTGTTGCTATACATATGCATTATAACCATCCTATGTTAGCCAAGCAAATCAAGCATGGAATTTAAAAAATGAACTCACCCCCTTTCCTCCTGACTTTTGGTCAAATGGTACCATGGTGATTTGTTTGGAATCCCGTTGATATGTACAGTAGTGCTTCACCCAAGAAGTTCCAAAGTGACCTGCAAGGTAGTATTTCCCATGAAACATCTCTGTGTCAAACACATGCTGGAAACACCCACAACCCACAGTGCTCACCTACCCTTAAACTGTTTCTAGGGGCAATGTAATCTCCACCAGCTAGACTGGAACAGGCAGAAATCTGATCCCACAGGCTGGAAATGGAATTGACCCAGGGCTTTCCCCAGGGACCAAGGAAGACTGTTTCCCACTAAATGCTGCATCCAATGGGTCTTAAAATATAAGGGAAGTAGAGGTTCCCTGGGGAAATTAATTCTCTTTCCCATCATCAATCTCCACTTGAAGTTCCCCTCTCCCCTGACAGAAGTAAGATGACTGAGGAAAGAACACAGAAAAGCTCCTCAAAGTGCCTGTCACTGTTCCCATCTGGTGTGATGACTTCATGCTTCCCACACAGCTGCTCTACAACTCTCCGCAAAGACATACAGAGGTTCTGACCTACTGCCAAACCCCTAATCTGTACTTTACCAGAACTCAAGATGATCTGAAAAGCAGATCAGGCAAACTCTGACACAAAGATGTAAACGGAAGTAACTATAAATACCCAAATGTAATCTAAGGGGTCTGTCCCTCAATATTATCCCTCAGGAAAGAGGGAGATGCCCTTCAGTCAAATCCTGATTTTACCTGGTGTTTGGCTAACTACTTTATCTTGAATAACAAAATATTATTAGAGGAAGAGGCATAATCAGCATTATTAGCCTCCAAGGTCCTCAATCAACATTAGCCTTAGATGCTCAAAGAGATCGCAGAGCAGAAATGGGTTTTTTGTTGTTGTGTGTGTGTGTTTTTTAAGTAGTAACATGAGATTTAACAAAGATTTAGTAGTTATTTTTCAGGGTATCAGTGCCCATAGCAAATGTGGAATATCACTTAGGAAACGAAAAAAGTAAAAAGCAACACAGTAAGTGTCTACATTGAAGCATCAAAGACAAAAATACCAACCATTCTAATTTATTTTTGTGGCTCAGAAAAAAAATTCCAAGGATAGCACAACACAAAGATTCCTAAAGTTCTGTATCTTAAATCATTTGAGCATCCAAACAAATAAGAACAGTACTGGACTTGGATTTAACCTACTGAATAGAACAGAAATCCTTAAGTAATCCTTAAGAAATCCATCCTGACAATAAGAAGATGGATGGATGGATGGATGGATGGATGGATGGATGGATGGATAAGAAACGAGAGAAGAAGAGAGTGAGGAGGAGAGGGCAGTCACTTCCTTGCAGTACATTAACTAATAAATGTGGAAAAGTGACAGAGCTGAGAAATCACCATTTTGCAACCATCACAGTAACCATCCGTTTAGGCAAGAACTGCCAGTGGATGCTAACTCTAGCAAAGCTTGATGACAAAGATATGGTCTTAAGGGGTCTCCCCATACACTGCTAATGAGCTACAAGGGAAGAATAGTGACTGTACAGTGGATAAACTAAATGATACTTTGAGTGAGTGACCAAAATTAACATCACCACTGAGGGGCAGATGGCCATACTGTGCCGCTAGATGTGGTACCAAGATAAGAACACAAATGTTACTACTTATGTAGGATTTGACAAGGGATGCCTAACCTGAATCTAATCACTGGGAAACATTAGACAAACTCACACTGAGGAAAATTCTAGAAAAGAACTGGCTTACACTCTTCAAAAATGTTAGTGTCACGAAGGACAAAGAAAAGCTGAGGTATTATTACAGAGTAAGTCATGACAAACGCAGTATGAAATCCTATCTAGACAGAAGGAAAAGAAAATGTTTTATAAGGGCATTACTGGGACAAATGACAAAATTGGAATAGGACCTGTCATTTACATTAAATATCTTATCAATGTTAAATTTGCTGGCTATGGTAACTATACTGTGGTTACATAAAAAGAATATCCTTATTTTTAGAAAATACACACTAAAGTAAAGAAGCATGGGGTATGGAATCAGTTCCAAAAGGATTCAGAAAAAATGGCAATGTGTGTGTGTCTCTGTGACTATGATGTGTGTACACACACACCCAGAAAGAGAAAGAACCCTATAATTGTGGAACAATGGTAAAAATCCATGCATCTAGATAAAGGGCATATGATTGTTCATTATACTCTTCTTGCAATTTTTCTTCACATTTCAAATTATTTCTAAGTAATAAGTCACCAAAACTTTCAAATGAAAAGAGCTGTATCCCACTGATATGCTCTAGACTCATGTGTTTGAGAGTTAAAATCTGGTTCTCATGATTATCAAGACATTCATGTTTTAAAAAGCATGTGAAGTGTTTGAATAAAATTGGTTTATTAATGTGAGTGCAGATTATATATATGTAAGTGAATAATATTAATAAATTAAGTATTGTAAGTGGACACTGAACTATATTCAAGTTGACCTTAAACTTTTTGAGGTGGATCTTCTCATTGGGCAAAAAAGGTAACACCTTATATTGAGGTCTACACAAAACACAGTACTACAGTACCTTCCACTTCTTATAAACCTCAACAAGCTCATACCTGTAAGAATAAAGGGCATAAAAACCCTCAAGATAACCACTGCCTCCAAACTCAAACCCCACTACTGCCCCCATTGTCACCAGGCAACAATTTTAGGGCCAAGCAAATTTTTGAGCAATCACTAACTAGAATAATCACTGAAATCAAGTGTTCTGTTCCGTTAGTAAGCTTCTAGGAGTGAAGACATTTGCCTCACCCTGAATCAACAGAAGGACAGTAAAGAGCACAAAACCAGCAAAAATCTGGGAGGATTAACATGTCCAACCGAAAAAGGAGGGATGGAAGACTAGAACTATCCATTAAAGAAAAAAAAAATTGACCTTCTTCTAACCCTAGCACTCCAAAAGCTAAGTCTGGAAGTGCTACCCTCAAAGCACGGCCCCATCAAAAAGCCTTTCCCCAGACCTATCGCAGTAGCCTATGAGTCATCACAACAGAAGTCTGGATTAGCAGCACCCGGTGTTTCTTTCCTTGACATCACATTGGCAGGACAATGGATTTCTCTTCCTACCTCTTGGAGTGAGTTTGTGTTTCTACTCACAAAATTTAAGGGTTGAAATGACAGCAATTGAAGAAATGAGGGAGAGGGCCTAAGTCATGACTATTCAGTCCTTGCCGAACCAAGTCTTGAATGGAACAAAATCATTCCATATTAAGTCCACCCAAGGATATGACTACCGACAGACAGTAAGGTCTAGCACGCAAGGCCCTTTCAGAGCCTCTATGCCAAGTGTGTGATAGCTAAAGCCATGCTGAGGGTTCAGGCATGTCAAGTGTGATTATTAAGGAGAAAAAAACCACCACAGAACCTCAGTGAATTCCAGGTTCCTGAGGGAATTTCCAGTTACAAAGAAAACAGAACACATCATGGGGAGGTAGACAAGACCTTTTAGATATCTTTCCCTTAAAAAACTCAACTATCAACTACTCTCATTCACCCAAATCTATATTTACAGAAGCTGTGCTCTAGGTTAGGCACTACTAGATACACCCTCCACCTCCTGGGCAAAAGGCATACGTGTACCCCAAGCCATTGTTCACCACCAGCACTCACGTTTCTCCTGAACGTACAGGTACCCTTCCATGGTGTAGGGACTGATGGTCTTGTGCTCGAGGGGATTCTCCTTCATCTTTTTCATCAGTGATTCCACTTCTGACCTGGTGCCTTCAAAGCGATTTCTTGTCTAGGATGAAAAGCATTTAAATCAAAGAAATGAAACCTTGTTCCCATCTCTAACAATTCACAACATCAACCTATGGAATCCTTAGATCTAAAACCAGGTAAGGAATATTGAGCCACCTAGGAATTAGGCAAATACTCACTTTCAAGAAGTACCTTTTGACCATAAAATCCTATACCAGAATGACTCTCAAAACTCTCAAGACCATCAAAATCACCTGGAGAATGTGGAGAAAATACAAATGTCCAGGCATCACCCCTAAAGATTAATTTAGTACCTCTGGACCCAGAAATGTGCATTTTAAACAAGCATCCCAAGAGATCCTGATTCAGATCGTTCACAGAACGGTCCCCAAGCTCCCTTCAAGACAGAGGGACTTATTTCTCCAACTGCAGGAATACCACTTGCTGATGGTTCATAGATGGTTCCTTCCTCAAAAGGGAGCTGGTTCACTCAAGGTAACTCCTTTCCCCAGCGCAACCTGCACCCCATGACTAGTCAAGGCTAGGGGCAAAAGGGGAAGGGGCCCAAAGCCTGGCACCCTTGCTTCTATTGAGGCCACTGTGAAGGTCGATATCAGCTCCAGGACACCCCAGGGCATTGACTGAGGCCTCACAGCTCAACTTCTCCGGCAGGGGTCTGCTGCCCTCTCTCTCACGGGTGATTTTGCTGACCCTACTCCCCTGTAAACCTGCTACACATAAACCTCCACTTCCGAGTCTACCTTCTGAGGAAGCTGGCCTAAGGGGAAGCCATGCTTTGGGAAACCTTGTCTGTTTTCCAAAACAACACAGAGAACCGTGGCAGGGTAAACTCCAGGCTTCTAAACCCATGCAATAAAACTCACAAGGACACACTTGGGTTTCTTTTCTACACAGCATCATCTAGAGACAAAGACAACATGCAGACTAATATAGCCAGCCACATAGTGACGCAGGGGCTTGAGACCAGTAACTGCTAACCAAACGGCCCTTAGCACAATTCTGAGCACCAAAAGGTCCTGCTGGTTAAAATGTGGGGAAGGAGACTGAGAATAAATGGCTCTGACTTGGATTTCCTGTGAGCCTTACTAAAAGTTAAACAAGATCATATCCTTTGAGCTGGAGGCCAGCATGTATGCCCCACCCCCAACCCCTGAACACCCTCCAAGGTCTCTTGTGGCCAGGCAGCTAGATGCACAGAAGGGAGGCTGGGCCTTCCACTGCCAAAGGAAATCCTGACTCTGGTGCTACAGATTTAAAACAAAAATATCAGCAGGACTTCCGAGAACATAAATAGTGCTTAGAAATAATGGAAAAGAGGTTGATGCTCTAACCTGGGGCCACCAAGCACCCTACAAATGCCTGCCCCCAGCTGCCCTTTGAACCCAAGCAAGACCCATCTTCCTCATCTGCATTCCAATCCAAATAAGTGATCTCTATGCAATCAGACCCATACTGTGTGTTCTTTCCTTTTCTCAACCAGGAAGAAGCCTATCCCTTTGCCCACTCACGTTCTGTATGCTAATGGTCAACTCAGTCTTGAAGTCACTGAAATCCTTGGCCAGTTCATAACCATGGTGATAGAAAGTGAAGAGTCCTTGCAAGAATGCCAGTAGCTGTAATGAAAGAAGAAGGGCAGAGTTCACATAAGCATGTTAAATAGGTATTATGCAGCTTTACCTGAGTTCCCAACCTTGATTTGAAAGGCTAGAATACAGTAATAAAAATGCCTATCATCTACTGAGCTTACTTGTATGCCAGGCACTGTAACATCGTATGTCTGCTCTCACTAAATGCTCATAACAGCCTAGCAGGTAAGTACTACTGTTGTCTCCATTTCAATATTGAGAAAGCAAGTTCAGAAAGGTTAAGTAACTTGCTCCAAAAGACAAAGTAAGCAGCAACCAGGATTTGAAACCAGGTCTCCTTGGCATCAACATCCAAGCTCTTACTCTGAGCCTCAGTACCTTCAAAGAAAATCATTTCTTCAGAAATTGAAGACCAGTCTCCTTCAAGTCCAACTCAGTCTCCATCAAATACATCTGTAGTATCAGGTTACCATGTGGAAAAGTGTAGTTATATTGATGGCCAACAGAGAGGGGAGAAGAGGAAGATGGTATGTCCCGAGTCTGCAGTGTCACAGGCAAAGTCAAATCAAAGAAAATCACCCAGATCAGACTTCAGCTCAAATGTGCTTCTGTGCTTTCCCTAAACTACCCACAGGTAAACACCAGGGATGCCGTTATTAAAATATTCCCATGTTCCCACATCTTCAGTTATGATAGTTCCCCTAAATGCTCATTTAAATCCCCTCGAGCTAAAAGGTATTAAGTCCCAAGAGTGAAAACATCTGTTCAGCCTGATTCTCACAACACACCTTCATACAGTGAAAACTATGAATGTCCCCACCCTGAGTCCTGCCAATCTTCACTTCTCCAGGCTCAACCAATGTTCCTACCTTATTTCCTCCCAGAACCTACACACAAAGCTATTGTTAGGTTTCCCTGGCCCCTTCCCAAGTTCTATGCATCTTGCCTCAGTTCCAAATCTCAACCTAGAGAAAGGATTGTAATACAAGCCTTAACAAGGTTTTAGAAGAACCAGAACTTTACCTTGTCACAATCTCTGTCGTACTGCATTTGGGGACTCCATCCCTGTTCTAACTCAAACTTTTCAATGCCAACTCACATTTTCTGAGTAGTCCACTCTGACCTCCCTGACCTGCCTCTAACACATGTTACATCAAGATACAGTTGCTTTGTTTTATATTGTTATTTAATTTTCCAGTCCCTAAAACAAACATACCTCTAGTAATTAAACATATTCTCACTTTGTTTTTTCACCTAACTCTCCTCTTCTGAGAGAACACTCTTCTGAGAGGCAGCCCTAACAATGATGGCAAAGGAAACAGCCCACCCCCATTCATCTCCCACCTGGCTTGTGGCAGGAATGGTAAGCATTATATGGTAGGTGCTACATGGTAAGGTATGTGCTACTCTACCTGAGCTCAGAGCAAAGAATGGTCTTTAGACTGAGCCACTTGCCCAGCCCAGCTGATCAAAGAGCTCTGTATTGTGAAGTCAGGCAAAACCCAGCTTTTAATAATATGATATCCCAACTTCCCACCGCTATTGTCCCCAGAGCAACTATTCCCTTAGATTCTCATGGGAGGTCAGAAAGCAGGCCTTGCTGGGTTCTCTGGCTCAAAAAATATCTTGTGACGCCACATACAGATCACTAATATAAATCAATGAACGAGTGGTAAACCACATAGCATCACCAAAGACTAATAATTCTTTTCTTGAAAGATGATGGAAGCTTTTGAACTTCCACCATATAAAATACTTTTTTGAAAGGAACGCTCAGGCTTTTCCACCTAGATGGTTCCAGGAATAGAGAAGAAGAGGCCCTTATGCCAAACCTAGTGTCAGTGTTCACAATGAAAACTGTTGTTTCTTATCTTTTCCTCCCCCGCCCCTGGTTTCGAATGCTGTGCCCATCACTTTTCCAAGGCATTGAATCATCCTCTCCTGGAGAATAATGCAGAAGATAAGCAGCTAATTCCAAAGCCATTTCTCTGTTAACTCTGATTTATCTTCCACTTAAAGTCAACAGGGCCTCTCTTGCCCAAGGTAATTAAATATATCCTCCAACAGCTCACTAAGACACCACCTGGGCATGCACACAAGTGTTCCAAGGCAGAGAGTGACTAGTATTTATTTTGGTTTTCACTTCCTTTGATATCATGCTTGATTGTCCACTTCCCTATGGGAAATGATTCCACAGATATTGTTATCCTTGGCCCCCTTCCCTTCTCCCCTGCCCACATCTCTCTTCCCCTGGCGCACCTCCTGACATCCCCTTCCCACACACTGCATGAACCTTTGAATCCATTACCCAGTGGGAAATGAAAGTTCACTCCCCAGCGGGCTGGGCGAGGTCCTCGAAAGACCCCAGAGATGGTATCATCTGTCTGCCTCAAAGAAATGCTTGTACTCAAACACAAAGAGGAAAAGCTTATTGTAGCCTCACCTTGGTTGGCAGATAAGTCAGCACATCCATAGAGGCTCCTCCCTGAACAGCCAGTGACACACAATCATAGCGCTACAAAGGCAATACCAAAGAAAGACCTTCCCCACCTCCTATGGCCTTCAAGGACCCCCATCCTTATTTTCTTCAGAAAATAACTTAAAAAAAAATCTATTCCTATTTCCTACCAGACAACATAGCATATATATTTTTAAGTAAGCAAAAATGTAAGTGCTTCATTTAGTGACAATTGTACCATTCTGGACCATCTGATAAATTTAGGTTGCCTCCATTCATAGAATAAAGCTACTGTTATAGGCTGAATAGTGTTCCCCCAAACCTGACCAAAAAATTATGTTGAAGTCCTAACCCCAGTAACTCAGAATGTGACTTTATTTGGAAATAGTCTTTACGGAGGTACTCAAGTTAAAATCAGGCCAGCAGGTCCTGGTCTAAAATGACCAGTGTCCTCATAAAAAGGGGCTATTTGGACAGAGAAGCAGAGGGATGATAACCACATGAGGACAAGGGATAGCAGTGATGCACCTATAAAGCAAGGAATGCCAAATACTGCCAGCCAACCACCAGAAGCTACAAGGAAGAAAAGACATCTTCCCTACAGGTTTTAGAGAGAGCATGGCCCTGCTGACACCTTGATCTTGGACTTGTAGCCTCTAGAACTATGAGAGGCAGGAAGTTTTTATGCTGAGAACCCAGTTGGTGGTACTTGGTTATGGCAGCCTTCACAAACAAATATAACCACCAAGAATCACTCATTTGCATGACAAAGAGAAGGGCAGAGAGCAGAGTGATGAAAAGCTGCGCTGGGCAAGCCACGTAATGCCCTGTAACTCTTCTTTTCCAGGAGGACACTAATGCTACATACTATTGCCCTGGGTGGTGGCGAAGACAGAGATCACCTATGTAACAGCCTTAGCACAACAGTGCCGACAGGAGCTGTTCAGCAAGACAGATATACTTAGACAGATGTGTTAGAAGATGCACTGTGGTGGCGGAGTCCAGCCCAGCCTGAGGAGAGGGGAGCCCAAGATAGGATGCAACAAATCAAAGGAGAAAATGAAGACCTATGATGGGGCAGAAGTAGTGAGAAAGGACAGGAAAGCACAGCACCAAAAAATGTTCTCAAGGTACAACTCAGAGAATGCAGTGTTTGATGAATGTGGGGAATGAGTTCTCTGTAGCACTCTGTAACCTCCAATTATGAAAACTCAGGGAACAGATGGAACGTGGCTTCACCTTCAAGAAATCAGGATGTCATTATCTGCAATCCAAAATCTCCAGAACATTTAGTACCTCAACAAGAAAATAAAGGCCAGAAGTCTGAATTTTCTTGCTTGGAACACTAAAATTTTGTTTCTTTTTTCTGAAGGTCAGTAACGTCCTGGTACTTGAAGTTACTTTCTAGGAAACAAATGAACACAGTCAACATCCATGGAGGTTTCTTGAATGGCTGGAAGATTCCCTTGACTGCAACCACCTCAAAATATGAATACCCACACCAGGTGCCCCAGCAATTTAGTTCAATAAATTTCTTGCTGGTTTCCTTTCCACCTGTAAGCAATCAAATACTGTTTCAGAGAGACTAAGAGCCATTCCACTTCTGCTAGGTACCAGATGTCACCTTAGAGAATAAATGTGCTTCCATTTCCTCATCTGAAAACAGACATAAAACAGCAATTACCTACCCTCAGAGACAGTGTAAGGATTGGATGACATTATGGAGGTGAAGGGACCATTAGCATATGACACAGTTACACCTAATCAACTGTTATTTCAGGGTCTTCTGCACAATCTCAGCCAGGGGCTCAAACTTAAAAGTGCCACAGAATCACCTTAGAGGGCTTACTAAAAGATTGATGACTGGGCCCCAACCCATAATTTTTCTAGGGTAGAGCCAAGAGTCTGCATTTCTCGACTTTGACAACCACGGGTCTAATCAGCAGTGTTCTGGATCAATCCCTCCTGCTAGCCAAAGCTCCTGAAGCACTGACCTGCCCATGAGGTGGTGGGTTGAGCAACATTAACTTCTATAAAAAAGTGAAGGTTGAACATGTGAATTCTACATGCAGCCTCTCAACCAACTCATTTAACTGTGGGCAAGATCCTATCACTTTCTTTTCATTCTAACAGGGGACCAGAAATTTTTATCATTAGCTTTCCAGGTGCCTCACTGCATGGCCTGGGACACATCCACAAATCACAACAGTTTTCCACTCTTGAAACCCCTCTGGCACTTCCCAACATGATCCCTCCTGACCCAAATAGCACTGAGCTGCTTGCTCCCTCGGATACCTCTCTACTATATACATCATGCTTCCCTAATGAGGCTTTGAACTCCTCAGAAACAGCAGCGGGATCTTCAGCAATTTTTCTGGTAGTAAGTAAATGCTTTCAGATTTACCAAGACTTTTTATATTAAAACAGGTAGACCCTGTTAATATTGCCACTTGACTCATTTGCTCATCTAAGTAGACCCTGGCTGACTGAAACTTACATATTCCTCTATCTTATAATAAAAAGTAATCATTGCCTGGGTGCTAATTAGCAATTATATACTAACTGGGTATTAATTAGGTTCACTCTATTCTAAGCATCATACATGGATAAACTAAATTATTCCTCCTAACATCTTTATATGGTAGGTGGTATTATTATACTCATGTTGTAGATAAGGAAACTAAGGCTCAGAGAAATAGGTAACTTCCCCAAGAACACACAGCTAGGAAATGGCTGAGCTGAGATTTAAATCTAGGCTGTCGGCTCTGGAGCCCTTACCAATGATTATACTGCCTCTCAAAAACTCAAGACACTGATATACTAAAAGTGACTGCCAGGAAATAGAAGGATTATTCTTTGAAGGTTTCTTGAAGAAGGAAGAAGGAAGAAGGAAGAAAGAAGAAAGAAGAAAGAAGAAGAAAGAAGAAAGAAGAAGAAGAAGGAGAAAGAAAAAGGAGAAGAAAGAAAAAAGAAGAGGAGGAGGCAAAGGAAAGCCTGCCTAGATCAGCAGTCATCCAGCTGAGTCCAGACCAGATTGACTGAAACCCCCAGATTTAGGAGAAATAAATGTCTACTGCTGTATGAGGTTTTGTGGTTGTTACCCAGCAAAAGCTAACAGATACAGTACCTGACTCACTAGGAACACCTCCTGGAAGGTCAAAGTAGACAGCAACAAAAAAATCACCTCAAAGAATTAAGATGGGTCAATTAAAATCCAAGTCCTGAAAAGCAGGCAATTGTAAATAATATCAATTTGCACATAAAGATTAGTACAATCACACTGTTGTTTTCCTCTACAAATTCTGGTAAAATCAATTAAACATGCCTAAGGCTCAATCTGTGACAGCTTTTGAATGCCTGCCCACACCAGAGGAAACAGTCTTCAATACACCTTTCATTGAATGGCTGGCTTTAACAACTCTGTGCCCTAAGCAGGGAAATCAACAAGCTCACTTTCTCTGACAGATGGCTTCTCCCACCACAAAGACTCTGTAAAAACATGGGGATTTTGACCTGAGACTGTGACAGAGACCACTGCTAGACAGGAAGTTGGCTCTAAAGTTTCTAATTTTCAGATAAGAAGAATGAGGTAATTAAAGACCTTAAGGAATTTGCCAGATGAGGTGGCACAGAGTGGAATCCCAAGATCACAGTTTCGGTATAGTAAAAAAATGTAAGCATCAGATTCCAAAGCCCACTGGATCCTGATAAAACTATTAGCAAGTCTACATGCTTAAAAAGCACCCCAGAAGTTTATAAATTAGAAATGGAGCACAGAACACTCATTACTGAAAAGAGTGGTTATTTTCTTTCAGTTTCTTACACTTTTATTCTCGTTTGCTTAAAAAAATCACTTTCTTAAATCTAGGTAGGTAAGAATCTTGTTTCTATAGAGACCCCAGGCGGGGGTCACAATCACAGCCAGCATTTTTAACAAAGAATCCAAGGTCTGCAAGAGTTTTAAATCAAGGCCCACATGCTCTTTTGGAGTTTCCTGGACATCCTGGTCATGTGCATTCGGAGTGCCACAGCGGGGTAGGGCAGCGCCACCACTGCACGGAGCCACCAACAGGCTAAGGTGGCCTCAACTAAAGCCAGATTTGTTTCTACACAACAACCTTTTGTACCCACTGGGACACAGTGACCAAGTCCAAATCCCATTATGGTTCACTAAGCACAATCTCCTGGCTGCCCAGTTATAACAAACTACAGTGAGAAATCGCTTTATATAGCACCTTTTAATGCATGGAAGGAGTGCAGAGGGGTTTTGAATTGAGCAGACAAAAAGACAAAGGTAGTACGTATATTCCCCTTGGGCAACTACTACATTTGGATTATTTGAGGGAGAAAGGAAAGGGGTGGGAGGGTGAAAAGTTAAGGTGTAATCACTACTATTGGGCAAGATGAAAACTCCTGCCCCGGCAGAAGAGAGGGGGGCTTGAGGACGCAACTGCCCCTGAATGCACCATCACTACTGCTCAGGTTGCACAGGAATGGCCACTGGGGACGATCCAGGGTCAGCCAGACTGACAGAGCACTGCTACTTAGCAGAAGGCACAGCACCAGGACAGGTCAACCTCTTCATCAGCGACCTAGAGCATTTTGTAATCTAGGCAGTGAAATGAGAGCTGGGGATCAAAATGTGGGGACAGCGTGAAAGCCTGAGCATCTACTTACAGGTTCCACGAACTCAAACATCTTTCTCTCTTGGACTTCCTGCACCTTGAAGACATACTCCAGCGATACTTCATAGAAATGCTGCCGGACCAAGTCTACTTGGCTGTCTGCCTACAAACAAGACAGAATTTAAGAAAAAAATTGGTCACTAACCAAGGAGAGCGTTCAGCAAGCAGGCCAGAAAAATCCCCAGAGATGGTTTTTAAAAACAATGCAAACAGCATGAAATAGACATAAGAATAATGACAATGGTCAGCCGGGCACTTAACTTTGTGTCAGGCACCATCCCCTCAGGTATACATACATTATGCTACTCGCTCCTCATTAATTATAGTTCTTTAATCCTCATTCCATTCCTAAAAAGAAGATATTCTCATTATCTCTAATTTACAGGAGGAAAATGAAACCTGCTAATGTTAGGGAACCTGAAGCAGCTGGTACACGGCAGAGTTAGGATTTCTGTACTTGTGGATCTGCCTCAAGACACTTGATCGCCTTTTTTTAAAGAAGTACTTATGTATTTGAGAAACAGAAAGAGAGGGAGTGCGTGGTGGGGGGAGAGTGAGAGAGAAACTGTAAGCAGACTCCATGCAGCGCCTGACTGGGGACTCATCTGCACAACCCTGAGATCAGGACATGGGCCAAAGCCAAGAGGATTCTTAACTGCCACCCAGATGCCCTGAGCCTCAATGATCTTTAAACTGGTAGTCTATACTGCCTTCCCACCCCCTGGGGCAGACTTGGGTTCCATGGAAGACAAATCTTGAAGGAGAAAAAAAAAACACCTGCAAAGCTATCATCAGGAATGAACCAAACAAGCTGTTAGATGGCAGGGAACCTCAGAAAAGGCCATTTCCACATGAGTTTCTCATACCTTCTTTGTTGTCAAAGAACAAACTCAGTTTACCCCAGCAGAGTAATTACATTATTCCATCCTAGCCTCAGGCCTCCCTCTTTGCAGATGTGGGGGAGGGGATGCCTGAAAAGGCCCACACGTGAGTACAATTAAACCACTGATGTAGGACATAGCTGCCAGAGGAGAAAATGAGTGTGTGTGTGTGTGTGTGATAGCAAGATGCTATGCTGCGGAGTACCTCAACTATCACAATAAAGCTCGTAGTCTTTCTGCAGTGTCACTGTGTCACCTCAATCTTTCAAAACAGATAATTACACCGAATGCATATTTAATGACAAAAAAAATTAGCATTTTTTAACAATTTTATTTGAGAGAGAGAGAGAGCACAAGAGGGGGATGGGGAAGGTGAGAGGGAGAAGCAGGTTCCCTGCTCAGCAGGGCTCCAACGCGGGGCGCTCTATCCCAGGACCCCAGGATCATGACCTGTGCCAAAGGCAGATGCTTAACCAACTGAGCCACCCTAGTATTTAACAGAAACGAATATCCTCCTAGTAGGAAACACAACTCTGCTTTCTTTAGAAATGAAAGGATCAGAAACCATTCTACAACATACTTCACAAAGACAAGCAAAGCCCCCAAAGAAACATGTCTTCCGGTGTTCCCTTGTCAAGATCCCTGCAGAAGAAACTTGGGACAGACCTTACCTGCCATTACACCAAATATGGCACTGCTATCTTTCTATCTAAAGGACTCGGCAAATCATTCATTCATTCGATCATAATGAACAAAAAGAAACTTCCTTCATGGAGCTCACAGCATAGTGAAGAAAAGAGATATTAACTAATCACGTAAATAAACAGAAAACTGCAAACTCTGGGAGAGCACAAATAGCCCATTCAACTCTCCTGTGAGCAACTTCCTCCAAGGTCAACATATTAATACACAGAAGTTAGTCTGCTGAGTAAGTGCTGAACAAAAGCAAAACGAAGGGCCTGAGGACATTTTCTAAGCCTCCAAGCAGAACAAGTTGGCACATGAGGACTGAGAGATCTTTATTTGGAGACACAGTTTCGGAAAGTGCTGCACCCCGTCCCCAGGTGTGGCTATTCAGACCACTGGGCTGACATCCCTTCCACCTGGGCTCCTGCCAGCTAAGCCCCATTGCAACCTTTAATTTCCTCGTAGTACAAATCCAACACACTTACGCCAGGGATGCATCTACTTCCCCTGACCACCCACACACCTCAAACATCCTCCCTGCTCGAGCTTGCCAACTGACACTGCAACTGTGGAAAGGGTCATTCTGAGAATTTGCGAAGTGGCTCCTGCAGTTAGGCAGCAATGGAGGAACTCCTCTGAGACAAAGAGCAGAGCCCAGCATCAGTCAGAGAGCTAAAAGCAAACACCTGGCGTGGACTTGCAGTTCTAGCATTCTCTAGCTGGAGAGACCTGCTCAAGTCACTTATTATCTCTGGGTCTTTTTCCCACACCTGGAGGTTGGAGATGGTATCAGCCCTTGCTCTGCAGCGAACTATTTTCAAGAGAAAATGAGCTAAAGGATATGAGCAATTTGAATACCAAAAAGTGCTATGTGCACATTTGTTGTCACCACCACCAGGCACTTCAGAGCAGATGGGCTTCAATCCCAGCTCCTCACCTAAGTCAGCCATGCATCTCTGGGTGATTACACTCCTCTCCTAACTGGTCTTCCTGCTTGCTTTTTCTCCCCTGCCCCAATCCAGTCTGCACCCAGCAACCAGAAGAGCTTTCTTAAAATTTGAACCAGAGCTTCTCACAACCCCCTCAATGCCTTTCTCTGGCTTCCACCATGGTCTACAAGACCCCGTGTGACCTGCCCACCTATCCCTCCTCCCAACCTCCCCCCAAAGCATTCTCACTGTGCTCCAGCCTCCCAGATGGACTCCCTGTCCTGTGACACTCCAAATGCTTTCCTGCCACGTAATCTTTGCACTTGGATGTTCCTTCTACTGATAAACCTCTTCTCCTTGATAAATATATATTTTTAACTTTAAGACACAGTAAGAAATGTCTTTTACATTACGACCCCCAAAAAAACACGACTTTATAGGCTTCTTCTGTTCTAGCCTCCTCTACTGTATTTCATGACCCAGTAATTCAGATTTTTATGACACACTCACAATTTTTAAAAACACTTTATTTTTAAGTAATCTCTATACCCAGTGTGGGCCTCGAACTCACAACCTTGAGATCAAGAGTCACACACTCTACCAACTGAGCTAGCCAGGCAACCCAGCATACCCACAATTTAAAGAACACTGTCCTAGCTTTTTTCTTGGTGGCCCTTCTCATCCTTCCGATGTCCATTCAAATGTTAGCCTCTTTAGAGAAGACTTCAGTGACCACGTTATGGTACATAAGATAAAGACTCCCCGGAGTAACCTACCTCCCAATTTATTTCCTTAGCGCTATGTAAAATTCTTTCCTACACTTTTCTCTTCTTGTGTTTTGCCTATGGCAATATAATGTCAATGAGAGCAAAGACTTTGTCTCGTTTTTCCACTTTCCTATCTCAGCTTCCAGAACAGTGCCTGGCCCATGGTAAGTATTCAAGAGAAGCTTAAGGAATGAATGAATTGATCTCTACATGGCTGATAGTGATCCAGTTCTCAGAAGAAATGCCCAACTCAATGCATTTCCAAAGGAAGGGGAAGAAGAATTCCAAGTGAAATGGTATGACTCTCCTGCTAATGCCCCTGCTCATCTGGGCCACAGAATTCATCACATCCTTAGACACCCATCCTGCAATGGACTCACAAGCCAAGAGTCCAGCCCACCTGGCAGGCCACTCAAAATCGTTTCTCTGCTTGTTACCGGAAAAGCAGTGAATCTACCAGCTTGTCTGAGACGCATCAACCATTCTATGCTTCTTAGAAAACAGACCTTGTTTCTACACTGTAAGTTCCAGGAAAGCCAATCATTCATTTCGCTCTCCACAATTCACTAACACCTGAATAGACTCACAGAAGCGTGCAGTGAATATTTGTTAAGTGAATATTGTCTTTGAAGCTTCTTAGCCCTTGAAAAATACAGTGATTTAAAAAAGAATCATCCACTAGATGGCAGTGTCATTCCACAGGACTGCACTATGATTTTGCCCACTAGGATGTGGGGATGGGCTAGATGTCAAAAGTACTGTTTCGAGCCCTGCAATCAGGGAAGAATTCTGGATGATCGAAGAAAGCAGATTTCATTAAAAGTGCACTAGGTGTTTAGTCATGTCCCTAAGTTGATTTTTTAATAAATGTGAAGAAAATCATCACGAAATAGCTAGAAGACCTTGAACAAATCGACCTCTGCAAGGAACCCAGTTCCTTCACATATATTTCCAGTAGGTTCAATCAGAAGATTATCAAGGTCCCTCCTTCCAGCCAATTCTATTTTCATGATACATGCATTAAATAACAACGATTTACAGGCAGCCCAGCAACATCCCACCCTCCCAAGAGAGAGAGACAAGGAGAAGAGCACAGTGAGGTAAGAGAAAAGAGCTCCAGAGTCTGGAGCCAGTGTGCAAACCTCACTGACGAGCTATGGGTAGGTTATTTAACATCTTCAAGGCTTAGTCTCCTCATATGTAAAACGGAGGGAATACATCCATACCTCACAAGGAGGTGGTAAGGATTTGAGACGATTCCAAGTAAAGTGCCTAACACAGTACCCAGTACAAAAATAAGCATTCCGTAAGTATTTGCTGCTATTATTGTTTTGTTAGTAAAAGTATTGTATCATTTTCGTTGTTATAAGATTTTTATCAATTTAATTCAGCTCAGATACAACTAAAAAGCAATGCTTGAGAACAGACCCAGACCTTTCTGAAAGAAAGACTTGCAGCTAAAGAACTTATCAAACTCAACACCCAAAGAATAATCCAATCAAGAAATGGGCAGAAGACATGAACAGACATTTTTCCAAAGAAGACATCCAAATGGCCAACAGACACATGAAA